AAAGAACACTGCACATTACAGTGATACAGACTAGAAAAAATAGGAAAACCTGTTAACTGATGTCTCTGTCATAGTTAAATACAGATATGTCAGTCTTTTCATTGCTAATCCTAAAAATAATTGCCTCCCCAAGATCAAGGAAACGTTTGAAGCAAGAAACTGTGATAGCTTTGCATATGTCTTTTTGTCATAAAAACAGTGAGAAAGGCATCAAAATGGATTAACAGGTAGATAATGAAGGTTAACATAATAACAAAGCACAGACTAGACCCAACCCTTTGATTATTAGGCATTTCTGAGCATCAAGTACCAAGCTGAAGGTTAGTTTTCCAGAAGCCATGGCTTTCTAAATACTATCGTATAGTGACCACTATTACGAAGCAATCCAACCAGTGAAAAATGGGTTTAGTAAACTTTTCGCTAAAAATACTGAAACATAAGATTTTTATAAACATTATTGCTTATGTTTCTCTGACATTTGACATATAACCCAGTAGTCAAGCCATTACTTCTAACTAATTTTATCATATTCCACCATTTGTTGTAAAAGAACTTGCATTTAGAATCACACATTGCAAATTTTAGGTGCACTTATTGACGTTGTTACTATTGCTACAAATGAACTTAGAAATTAAAGGAAAATGGGTGTTTTAATTGTTTTTACATATTTGAAAGACTCAAAATGATTGCTAACAATTATAGGCTAGCTTACTAAATAGGCATTGCACTTACAATAAGAAATACTTTGTTAAATAACTTAGGCCAATTGTGTATCATCTTACTTCATTCTATTTCTATTGTCAAAAAGGGCTATAAAGCCACAGTAAACAGGATCATTACTACTATGTTTTCTATGTTCCTGCCAAGTTCAGGAAATCGGGAATCAAGGTGGTTCAATGAATACAGGTTTAATGCATGCCAACACTTTCTACAAGAATCTGAACTACTAATGGTCAAAGCAAATTGACAGTAGATAAGAGTCAATGGAATTCAAGTGGGTCTTTTGGACACAAAGGGACTCAAGACTGATGACATGCTTGACTCCTCCCTCGGGTTCAGCCTGGTCATGTCTTACAGTTCCACCATGTTTCCCTGAAAATAAGACCCGGTCTGGTATTTTGGGGGGCTCGGCTCCAAAATAAGCATTAGGATTTATTTTCAGGGAAACATGATATCAGGGTGATTAGCTTGGTTGAGCACTCTGCCCCCAGCAAGTGCACAGGGACCAACAGTATCTGGCAGCAGCTGCAGCCTGCTGGTCCTTGGTTGGCTCACTCTGGGGCATATATTTCCAATATATGACCCTCAAAGAATATAAATAGAAAGGAAAAAAATGGAAATCTGAACACGAGCAAAAGGACTTTCCTTTACTGCATCCTAAAATGGTTGAAGATGGTTGAGATTATTAGTACCTAGTAATCTCAACCATCCTTCAAAATACCTAAAGGATTAGAGCTAGGGTTAATTTCAGAGTGCAATTGGCAGTTTGTTATGTAAAGAATATCTATAGGGAAATCTGAGCAGCTACAGACTCCAGACGGCTAGAGAGGAGAAGTTTAACCCCTCCTTCTCTGCCACTTGTGACAGAAAACAATCACATATCTAGACAGCTATTTGCATTTCAAGGGAGCTTATTTGTGGTTCACTGAAGCCATGGTGGATTTTTACCCTCCTGTTCAGAAGTATTTTTCTCATTATCATAACAGGGGAGGGAAGAGTTAAATCTTCCTTCCATGCCTGTTCTGATGTCATTAATTACTAGCTCCACAGGCATACACAGGGACTGACACACAAACACACACACACATACACCTCTGATGCAGTTTTTATTTTTAAAATCCTAAATGCCTTACTGAAATTTTAGTTGTGTGTAGAAACTAGAGACTAGAAATCCTTTCCTCCCTCCTAAATTCATTTCTAGCTTATTTTATTTGTATCTTGCCTAATATGTGGAGCCAATAATGTATGTGGAATGTACATATGCAAACAAAGAAAGCATTAAGAATCTTTCAGGATGACAAATACCTTACTGAGCTCTTCTTGATAAGGTTAAGAAATGGAGGCTTTAGCTTCCTGGCAACAACCCTTTCCCCTTTGCAGCTTTCCTTGGAGACAGTAGGTTCTCATCTCCTTTCACAATAAAATATTATTTTTATAGATCCATTATTTTAGTTGCATCTCATTGTCACTGCATATTCATGCAGTTATGACATTATGTCATTGTTATGAATGTATATAAAAATACTAGATAAATCATCCTAATGAGATAAACAATCAATAGAACTGCCTCTTAATCATCCAAGACACCATTTGTGACCTGGATACATTATAAATACACACTGCAGATTGCAGCAATATTATTCAGCTAGGTAAATCCCAACAAACTCAGTCACTGTTTAGAATCAGGCCTCAGTATGTAATGCAGAGGTCACCTCATTGGACCAGCAAGACTTCATAGTGTGCAGGTAAAGCGGGTAAGATTCTGACAAGTCTTGTTCATTGGTAACTACTTTATTCCACTGTTTCCTATCTTTAGTCAATGGCATTAATTCTGTTTCTAATTAGAATTGCACAATTTAATTCTTCTGCTCTGGGCTATACCAAAGATATGGTTCATGTAACAGCAGCTTGGAGCATGCATGCTCCTTGTAATCACGCAACCAATGCTTCAAGAGCCAGTACTTCTGATGTTACAAACTGCAGTTGGGCATACACCAGGGATCATTTCCCCAGCATGCGAGATGATCAGTCTGTGAACCCCCTGCTGTGTTTTCCCAGTTGAAACCAATCTCTTTGCTGCTTTAAAAGAGCTATGCTTCTGTTAACAGTGATGACTCAGTACATTATTGTGGATTTTTCTCCTTCTGTGAGTCAAATGTCATATACAACTGTCAGTGGGAATTTCTATTCTATTTGTTACTCCTCAGCTATTTTTTAACTCTGTGAATATATAGTTAGGGACATGCATACATATGAATACCACCTATACATATAATCCTTCCATAAATATTCAGATTAACACAGAACTTCAAAAAAGGGCTCTGGGGCAAATGGGAACATTAATATAACATTTGTTTCAACTCTTTAAAACAGCTGCATCATATAGTTGCCACTTAATCCCTACAACCAGCATAGCTACTTTAAAGACCTACTGATAGTACTACATCGTCACCCACAAATATAAGTAAAATTAAGAGTCTTCCCCTCCAAATTTAATATAAGCAATCACTTAGATTAAAGTTTCCACCATCTTTGGCAGTATTTTTTAAAAATATATCAATCAGTCTTTGCCGAACAATAATCTGAAACGGATTTAGGCAGAGGTATGCTAATGTTAACACAAATTAATTTTAGATACCTTTCATGATTTCTAATAAGAATTTTTTTCTTCTTATATATGCAAATGATTTCACAATATGGTATTCATCATGTGACAAAAGAAAACCATTTCGCTAACTGATGGCTACCAGTCAGAATAGTTATACTAACAAATACCTACATGGATAAATCCATTGAGCATTTCCAAAACAATCGGTGGATTCACAAATTATGATAAATTATATCATTTGTTCAGTTTAATTTAGTAAGTTGTATAAAACCAGCTGTCGTGTTATTTATTTATTTTTTTAAATGTGAAAAAAGCCTTGGATTAATTGTGATATGCAAACCCTGCAGTTGAAGCACTCCTGGACAGGTTCCTGAGTGATGCCTGTATGAAGTTTCTCCCTTACCAAAAAAAAAAAAAAGGAAAAACAGGGAAGGCAAGGCATTGAAATTTATAAAGACCTCTGAACTGGCAATTCTTTGACTGTAATAAAGCTAAGAAGACGCCATTGCTATCTTTTTATTAGCCAAGGAGGCACTACAAGCAGACTTTCAATGTTGTTGTTGTTTTTAAAAAAAACTGAAGCAAAGATTTCATCTCACCAGCAACCTCTTAAAGGTATTTAACAGAAAACAACCACTCTAACTATAACTAAGTATCTCTGTAGGAAGACATACAAAGAGTTTAATTTAGCAACAGTCTGCACCATAAAATATTAGTCAAGTGCTAGCATAGCCATTAATACTCTTTTTTAACAGAAGGCAATTTCACAGACTCATTTACCAACTGGAATCTCCCAAGTCTAGTTGGTAATTGTTTTTTTTTATTCAGCTCTGTAAATTCCGTTTAGTGCTTTTTAGCTGTTTCTTAGCATAAATGCATTGAATGTTGTTAAATTGGATTAATAGCTTTTATATGTACTATATATTATGCATTTGTTTAACTGGAGGTGTTCCAACTTATATTGCTGCTATCTCTTTTTAAAAATGCCATCTTATTTTGCTGTTTTAATTTTATGGACTTTTTCTTTTGGAAATACTTTATACAATAAATGTTTATGAACTATGCCTTGTAAATAGTTATATATTTAATATAGGAAGTTGGATTATTGGCCATTCCTAAGCTTAAATCCTTTTGTTTTTGCCTCAAGCAACCTAGGGAACCAACCAATTTATGAGAGTTAAAATCTAAATGATAAATCACAAACATCTTGTAGTATTTAATCAAATTATGTTTCTAGTATGACTAAGATATGAAATTAAAACATTATGCTACAGCCCAATATTTTTAGGAAGTTCCTCTGCATGCCTCAATATTGTTTGTGAACCTAAATTTCCTTCACATTACCATGTAGACCTACCAACAAACTTCCACAAGTACCTATTAAGGGCAGAGATTCGGTTAGAGTGATGGTGGTACTTAAAAGTTGGACATCAAATGTCAATTTGAAAGGAGGAACAAATTTCTCCTACAGAATCAAACATCCCTATTCCACAAATTAGTGACCACTATTAGCCACAGAGTGATTAGACATACTTTAACACAAGTTTTTCTTCCTGTAACAATCAACATGGTATAATATGCAATAGAGCAGATTCATGTACTGTACAGTAGGGTTTTACTACATTATTTCTAAGATCCCTTCCTTTTATTACATTTGATGGTTCTGATATAGCTCTGAAATTGGGAAGGACAGGGAAGAAGATTCAAAGCAGGAAGTGGAAGAAGATGGAGAAGAAAAAGGGAAAGGATTTCAAGAAAACGCTACTTTGATCATCAACATATGCAATTTGAGTTCTAAAGAATAAACACTGGGGCATGACAGTATTTCTGAATATATAAGAATATGTTTACGTCAACTCAACTTTCAAAGAAATTCAATTGTAATACAGATAAAGAGTTTGTGAGTTTCCTTGTGAATAATATTTAGCATACTTAATTTTACATCATGAAAAACATACCAGAAAAATACTGAGAAATCAACTCTTCCACAGTTCAAATATTGAATTCCTTCTTTTAAAGGAAAACCGTTTAAAGATATTCATTGCTGTGTTTTAAGTCTGGCAATTGAAAATTTTAATATGCAACCTGAATTTATATATTGGTGTTGATCTAGTTATAGTCATGACAAATCAAATTGTAAGCAGAAGAACAAATGAATTGTAATTAACTTACATCTCATTGCTTTCAGTGGAAATTAGCCTGCAATCCTACAGTTAAATATTAGCAACAGGTTCTGATTAAGTAAATTGATTTTCAGTAATATAGCATAGTTGGGTTGCATATTAGCTATAAATGTTTATTCTTAAAGCTTACCAACTTTTTAAGATTTTTTGTTTTGCTATGTAGAAACAAAATCCTTTATATTCTTTACTCTGGATTTCAGCTTGACATTCTAGTGAACAGTTCTAAGAATTATCACTAGCATAGCTCCCAGCATGAATTGTCCTGTTTCCCTGTTATTGCAACACATTAATAAAAACTGAACAATATTTGCAGGTTTTGTGAGATATAAATAGCGATTCAGATTTAATCTTGCAGTTGTTCATTCTGCAAACAAGTTTATGTTTTCCATCTTATACCAAATGTGCTCTTGACATTTGCATACTAGATATATTTTATTTGGAAGTTTTATTTCTGAAGCCTATATTATTTGCTTCTTCTTGGACAAAAAGTTGTCAAATAACTTTTTATATTCTCTGATATGGAGCATAGAATTATCAGGGGTTCCCCCACCCCTTCGTCCCCTAGAAAGGAATACTCAAAACTATCACTCTTCCTGCAGATGTTTCATTTTGGGTGCAATACATCAAACACTAATAATTATGCTACTCACCAGTGCTTTTATGTAAAATTGCATCTATTTTTATTTTAATAGGAAATACATATTTAGCTGAGGCTTCTAATATAGTTCAGTGGAGCAGAGTCCCTATCCCATAGCATTTAAAGTGATTCTTTTGAAATAACCATCATGACAAATTTATATACCACTTTTCCTTTCTTTTGTTGCTTAATATAAAAGAACGTAACAAAACAATAAAAATGCACTTTTAGCTGTATTACAAATAAACCAATTGTCATTATAATAACATTGCAATTATTTGAAAACAGTTTGGAATCTTTGGTAATTTTTAATGCCTTCATGAAGTATTTACTAAAGAATTGCCTTTCACTGAGATTGACATTCAAAGGCAAAATACAATTCAGAGTGTACCTGATTAGATATAGCCCCTGTCTAAGGCACTTTAAAGCAACTCCCTCTTCTTTCTCGCATGATGAGAAAAGTTATATTTCTTTCCGGCAGGTGGTCTATGCATAGTAGACACTCTCCAATGCATCTTTTACTCTTTTAATCCTAATTATTGCATGGTGTATCTATTGTATTTAATTTTGACTTTGGTTGGCAAAAATCAGCTGGGAAGGTCACAAATGGTGATCATATGACCCCAAGACACTGCAACTGTTGTAAATATAAGCTGAGTGCCAAGCTCCTGAATTTTGATCATATAACTGTGGGGAGGCTGCAACTGTCATAAGTATGAGGACTGATAGTAAGTCACTTTTTTCAGTGCCATTATAACTTTGAACAAATGATTGTAAGTTGACAACTATCTGCAAACTGAAAATAAATGTCTGAGATACTAATGATTTTTTTTTGGTACTGTACCAAGATGCTAACAAACCATTATATTAAATTACTGTTACTACTTGTAGTACTATGATGGATAATGGATCCAATGACACTTCCAACTCTTATTATTTTAACATTTTATGCAGTGCAGTGCAGTGAGTATATACTAATCATGGTAACAGAAAAACAAAGTATTGTTTCCGCCAAAAAAATGACAAGCCTGAACTGAATTTCCAACACCATATATAAATCAAACATGATGAATAAAAACTGTTCTATTTCTTACATGAAATTTGATGTGACTGACAAAAAATGCTGATAAAGAAAACCAGCTTAACTGATAAATTCATATTTCTTTCTATACAAGAAATTGTCCTTGACTTTCAAATATAGTCTGTTTTGCTGTGATTTCCCACAGAAACAACTCATGAAATCTCAATCAGTGAGATTTCTTCCTGTTTCTTCTTCAGCAGTCACACATAAATCAGAAAAAAACTAAAGTTCCTTACACACCTTCACTCAAATAACTCTTTAATTTATATCTAAGGAAGTTTATAGCTAGCCTGTATATAGCCTGTATCGGTGTATCTATCACCAGTGACAGCCACAGGTAAATCTCATATTGGAATTGCTGTTCCAGTCTAAAATGGATCCTTTCTAATATTGTACTCAGCTGTTTGGTTTATGAATTTTGTAGTGTTAGGGTACCATTCAGAAATAAGAAAAGAACAGAGATTAGATATGTTTTCTGAAACTGTCTTTTCTTTCAGGTTGCTGGCATGACTGGAAAAGAGAAACCTTTAAAAATATATTTCCAAAATTGATCTTTGATATATTTCATATAAAGCATATGTGTGTTTGTAAATGGAAAAAGAGATATACATACAGTCATATGCAAGGGGCAACTGGACTTTCTGGTTTTTCTTTGAAGACATTTCGCTTCTCATCCAAGAAGCTTCTTCAGCTCTGCTTCTTGGATGAGAAGCAAAACATCTTCAAAGAAAAACCAGAATGTCCAGTTGCCTCTTGAAAAAGCACCTTTGGGACAACCATGACTGGGATGATTGAGACTCTCCATAGACATACAGACATATATACTCAAACATGCACACATAAGATGACAGTTTATGTGAGATGGAAAGTCAAGTTCAGCCAGGCAATTATCTCTTGTTGATAGCAGATCATTTCCTCTACTAAATTCAGAAATAACTTCGTTGGATATAAGTTACTGCTTTTCAGGAATGCTGGAGTTTATGTTCCTGCCTTTTATGAGCATATTTATTATAATCTGTATGGTTCGGAATTTCTCTTTCTCTTCTTTTTATATCTTGGATTTATATACTATTTTATGTGTAACATGGGAGAAGATATTTGTTATATAAAAGGTAGAAGATTATACATAGCCAGGGAACAGTGCCAGAAATCATATCCATATCTTGTTTTCTATAGCAGTAGCTCAAACTATTATATTTTTAGGTAAGGCAATACTTACAAGTTACTGATCAATATAATGAACAGCAACGATCAAATATACAGAATAAAACATAAACAGAAGTAAAGTGAGAAAATTTAATCTAAGTTTATTTATGAAGTAGTTTTAAATCCCAGTGAACCAAAAAAGGATTTACTTCAGACTAATCAGTCTAGGCTTAAAGAGATTTAATTGCTTCTGAGTAAATAATGTTCATATAAGACTTCAGTACAATGGGTTGAAATTATGGCTAAGATACTGAATTATTACTAAATGGAATCAAAGATAAATAGAAAATGCTATAGCAATCCTAGCTGAAGTATCCATTGAAAATTAAATTAAGCTGTTGGATTTATCCATTATTTTATGTCTGTTCTTAAGTCTTCTTTTGTAGAAATGTCAGTGAACAAAATCATTCTAGGTTCCTCAACCTCAACAATTTTAAGATTATGGAATTGAACCCCAAGAGCTTTCCCTTCTTGTGTTCTAGAGGGACCTTGGAGAAGATATTTGTTACATAAATGGTAGGATGATTATACATACAGAGAAGAGTGCCAGAAATAATATCCCTATATCAAGTATAAGACACTTGTTTTCTACAACAGGTGGCAATTGTGTCTAGGTACAGGTTAATCTTGTATGCTATTTGTGCTCTTTCTTCAATCAGGAGGCCCTTCAAATAGTCAGTCATGTCCTAGTCACCTCATGACTGGATTATTGCTATGCACTTTACATGAAGCTGCCTTGAAGAGCCGTGGTGGCCCAGTGGTTAGAATGGAGTTCAATTCTGAACAGTTCAAGGTTGACTCAGCTTTCCATCCTTCCAAGATCAGTAAAATGAGGAGCCAGATTGTTGGGGGCAATATGCTGACTCTGTAAATCACTTAGAGAGGGCTGTAAAACACTATGAAGCAGTAAATAAGTTTCAGTGCTATTGCTATTGCTATCTAGAAGCTACAGATGGACTGTATGGACAATTGTATGGACAACTCTCACTATGTCTATGTGTCATCACTGCTATACAAGCTACATTAGATGCTGCTAGCTTCTGAATGCAGTTCAAGGTGCTGGTCATGGCATAGGTCCTGGATATCTGAGGGACCACTTATCTACAATTGCTTCTGACTGCCCAATACATTCCAGCAGAATAGATGCACTCCAGGTCCCCACCATTTAAATATTCCTTTTCTGTCCTGCCCCTTCTCTGGAATAGCATCAACTCTGAAGTTGATGTTTAATATTTTGTTCAATGGCCCCTGTTTTGCTTTGTCGATTTTGCTGTCCATTAGATTCTTTAAGTCTGGGCTGTCTGTGTGATTCAATATCTTTAGTTGCTTTTGTGTCTTTGTTTTGTACACAGCCAGAGTCCACTGAAATTGAATGATCGATAAATTTAAATTAATATTCATAGCATTTTAGGCTTATATAACTCTCCATAGCCTTTACAGCACTTTCTGGGCAGCTTAGAATGTAGAAGCATTATTTGCATATTTTCTCCAATAATCTGGGTCCTCATTTTACTGATCTCGGAAGGATGAAAGGCTGAATTAACCTTGAGGATTAAACTCCAGACTATGGCCAGAATTTGCCTGCAGTACTACACTGCACCACTGATTAAATAAACCATAAGTAACAGACATTGAAGAACCCCAAAGCATCATCGCAGTATTGAAAACATGGACTATGCTCTTAAACTAAACAAAGGAGATGGTAAGATTAGGAA